TATTTTTATTAGAGATTATACTATATTTTTTATTCTTACTAATATTTTCTTATAAAATATCTTTGTCAAAAAATAATAATTTTATAAAATAAAAAGTAACATCTTTCTATTAGATTTTTTTCTTAATAGATGTAACTATTTATTTAATTAAACAACCTATTAGAAAGTCATGTTAAATAATAAATTTAGATTAATTTATAGATTTATGCACATTCTCAATAAACTTAAATTTTAAATTAACTCAAATACATAAGAAACATCTATAATTTAAATAATCTTATAATATTTTGTAAATCATTTTGGTTCAAAATTATTTCTTACTTATTTTATTGAACTATATTTTTAATTTTTAATTTGGAGAAGTATAAAAAATTAAAATTCAAAATTCAAAATTCAAAAAATGAAATGTGCCATTTATGTTAAAATCATGAATGTAAATATATATATATATATATATATATTTTTTAGTAGAAACTTATGATGTTGGCCACAAAAAATAATTAATGAAAATTATGATTGAGAGCTTTCAAGCTCTCATGGTGCTACTCTCAACAATCTGCAGCAACATGTAGATTTTGATCTCTAATTGGTTAAAAGTTGACAACAATCTGCAGCAACATGTAGATTTTGATCTCTAATTGGTTAAAAGTTGAGTTATTGCTTCACTTTTGCTTCACTTTTGATGAAAACAATGAGATATGTAACCAATGAAAGATGGTTTTTGTCCCCTCCAATGTATCCCCCTAAGCTGTTTTATATAAGATATAGGTATATATGTATATATATATATATATATATATATCAAAGAAAATATCAAACAATTAAGGCAATATATTGGAGAGTGAATGAAGAGAGCGATGACGTAGTCCGTCCGTTAGTGGCAGTGGGAGGAAGGGAGGGATGAGGGGGAGGGCATTGAATGCACCACCGAAATGGCACCAATGGCGAGCATGGAAGGAGGGATGAATGTATGAATGAATGGAGCCCTATTCACTGGCCCCTTCCAAAACCGGGCGTCCGTCACTCACTCATCACACTGAAGGAGGAGAAGGGGAGAACATGGCATTTCCTGTCAGTCAGATCCCCACGCATGATGATTATCTTTGCGACGCCTCACGGGCTGGTGGTGGTAGTCATGCTTCTTCTTCTCGGCAGTCTTAATTAGCCTGTCCCACCAGCCCCGATTTACTACTACCTCATTCATTACTCAGAGAAAGCCACATTCAATGCCAAGAGCATGATACCAATACCCACGAGTGCATAGCATTTAATTCGGGTGGGTGCCAGAAATTGAATCGCGCTCTGCTAGTGACAGCCAGCCGGGAGGGAGTGATATCACGGCGACCGAGTCCATTCCCCCTGCCCTGCCTTGCTACAACGCTTTCGTACCTTAATGCACGATGGACCTTATTTCTCTTATTTCCTTTCCTTTGTTGTCACATCTCTATCTTTCTCTACTACATCTCCCCTGCCCCCTGCCCTGCACTACCCTGCCTGCGTCGCTTTAGAGCGACACCTGGTGAGGCGATCCCGTCATGGAAATAGTTCTTGCTTCTGGATCCTTCGCTGTAGCTTTTTCTCTGTTTTACTTGGTGGGTTCACCTCAAACACGGCACTGCAACACGACGTCCGGTAGCTCTCTTGGAATGGGACGTTAACCTATAGTAGAATGTGATAACGAGCAGGCTGAGTTTCGCAGGATTTTTCTTTTGCAAATGCGCTAAATTGTGCACTGCTGCATGGAATTTGTCGTCGATGCCATAACTCCGACCAATCCCTACTGACACCATGTCACAACAATTCGAATACCGTCTCTAATATTTGCATACCGTCTTTAATGTTTCGAAAATGGTGCTCACTTTCACCCCATCTTTGCCTGTGACCTGTCATTGGTGGATTCCATTCGCAAATAGCACATCGCAAGGTCACTCATCTAGCCATTCAACACACATCACTACTTCGTTTTTTCTTCTTTTGTTATCGTTCTTTTGAAACACGTGGGATTTATCCGTTGATTAGATGTAAAGAGAACTTGGAAAAAAGCGTCCTGAATTCTAACACTTGTTGGTCAATTGGGCACATGTATAACACATGCGTAAATTATGTATATATATATATATATATATATATATATTGCTTGGTTGTATTTGTCACCAAGTCAAGTCTAAAGATTCAGGTGTTACTGTTTGGATCAAATTGTGAGTGTTTTCTGGATTTATAAAAGAATATGAGTCATTTCTAACTTTAGGGTAACTGATGGTTTTCACCAATTTTATAATTCTTGTTTTCACGCCAGTTTTTATGCTAATGTGCTAGAATCTTTAAATAGAATATGGTCCAATGACTTATTGTCTATTTTGTGCACATTTTTTAAAAATAAATCTTCACAATAAATATTTTGTTTGTGTTGATCTTGATATATAAAATATTGTGTTAATTGTAATCATTAATTGTAATTGGTATACTTTGGACTTGAAATACAATAAATGAAAGACCATGCAAAGTCCGACTACAACGTGCCTGGTTCAGGTGGACTGGCAACGAAAATGGTCACACCTTCGGCAAGGTGAAGTGAACGGATTCGGTGAAGGAAGTTGTAGAGCATGTTCGAGAAGAGCCATGGCGATCAGCACTGGATGCCACCCCACACACATACAGGATGATGATGATGAGGAGGACGTTCTCGTCACGATTCCCGAGACATGCAACTGAGATTCCCTTCCAAGCATGCGGAGGTTGGTAGCCAAGGTACCTCGGCTAGCAAATTTCGGGACCCACTGCATGGTGAATCAGAATTTCACACATGTATATGTGTGGTGAATATACGCAAAGTCACCCACTGATGAAATTACTCTATAGACATCGCAAAGTCCCCCCCCCCACAAAATCAGCTCGTCTTCGGTATCTAATTCCACAGAAATTGATGCTGCTGATCCAATATCCAGCCCCTCAAACTTTGTCCAAAACATCTCGAAACTGAAACCATTGAACACCATAACCAGAGACAGAATTCCTCGTCCCCGTTCATGCACGACCCTTTTGCTGTTCATGAGCGAGCGTGGGGATGGTCCGCCTGGGTCTGAGTGCGGGGAACTGACTTCCTCCTTGTCTGGATCAGACTCTCTCAGGTCACAGTTTGGTTGAACCGCGGACACAAATTCTTTCCAGCGCCAACTCGACTACGATTGGGTGCCTCTTCACCAGCATTGTGGAAGCTGAGAATGTCGCTGTCTCTCCCAGATCTGACGAGGCCGTGGTAGCTGAAAGCAGAGGCGGAATCTAGACACAGGTCTAGAAGAAGTCGCCGAATCTCCTTCTTCTTCTTAACGGCACATCTTCTTCAAACACATCGCGGTCTCTCGTCAACGACGTAGACAATCACAGTGTGTGTGAAGAGAATGGGCGCTGGATTAGGGTTTTCCTTAACCATGCACTACGCTTAGAAGTTAATTTCCCCTGGCTGTGATTATCCAACTTTGGATACAGAGGGCATGGTCCAAACTTAGACCCCAATCCGGAATGCTTAATCATGAACCAAAAATTGATAAAATCCTTTGTTGTTCTCCGCTGGAATAGCGATAAATTGCGGCCCCACTAAACGCAAGGATTCACCAACCCTAATTAGGGCTTGGGGAATTGGGGTTCATGAATGTATAGGATAGGGAGGCTCATAATGGAGAAGAAGAGGACTGGTGATGAAAAGAGCTGGTCAGCCAGACAACTAGAAATTAACAAGACTTGAATGAGAGCACACAAAACGGGCCGGGCTGGGCCGGGTTAGGCATAAATGATGGGGTCCACTTGGGGAGAGATGCATTTTATATATATATTTATATATATATATTTAGGGCTTATATCAAATGTGTAGTGAACACGTGCCACGTCATTCCCTTCTCCAACTCTATTCTAGGGTCAAGCCATGGTTTCCCCAACTTCATCACTGTATGTCCACTGATCTAATGACCCAACAAGCCAAACACTACAACTTGGCTCGGAAATTCATGTACCATGAAATTGGATAATGTTTGTTTTGTGAATCATCTGGTGTTGCAACATGGACATTAACTGGTAATGTTTTGTTTCTGGGTACATTAAGAATGATCAGTGACCTGATGTACAATTAAAAATATTTTGATGTTTTGATGTTTGGAAATTTTCAAATGAAAACCATGTGGTGAATCAAAAATATTAGTATCGCCCACACGGTGTTTCAATATATATATATATATATATATATATTAAAATGGTAAAAAAAGTACACAATAATGCTTGATCCTAGCCCTTAGTCCACGGCGTAAAGTAACTAATTAAAGGTATAGGAGTAAATATTTAATCGTATGGGGGGCTGTAGTACACGAGCTGAAATGAATTTGGACGTTAGCATTCTACTAAAAGTTTAAGATTAGATCCTGACAAAATCCATGTTAAAAATAAAACATTTAATAATCATACACAATTGATTCGAATATTGTTCATTTAATAACACACTATATAAAAATAAAAAACAATTTTTGAGTCATCACCTGAAGGATTTATTATCATATGTTTGCTGGGTTGAGACCATGTTTCATGTTGTTTTTATGCTCATATTGTATACGAATGCTTTTGTTTTTTTGACTAGATGCATCGACACATGATGACATAAAGCTTTTCAACAAATGTCACTTGGAGATAAATATCTATACCCTCCCTGAAAGTCAACTATTATAATCTCAAAAAAACAAACAGCTAAGTTCACAATCATGTCTTCCATAAGCATCAACATAGATATACATACACACTTGTAAAGACGAAATTATTATAGTATTATTGTTTCATGGAGTTGCCATAGATGAAGAGGATAATTCGATAAGGCCCCTTGTGATACGCAGTTTTTTAGCAGCCCACAAAACAAGATTCAAGATGTCCACTCCCAAAGAAAGGAATCCTTGCAGAGGAAATCGGAGCATCATCGAAGCAAACAACAGCAGATTGGGGATGCAGCTATTCAGTCAAACATGTGCACAGCGAATTGTTGAGTTTGTTATGGGGATGATCCATCGCTTGTAGCATGAGTAATGTTATGGTACAGATTGCTGCCGCTGGTTAAGTTGCAGCGCGGGCAACGTATTTTCTATCGTACTAGCTAGAAATTTACAATGTACATCAGAAGACGGAGAGAGACGATTGTTGCACGCCCCATCTTCTCGCCCAGAGCGACAGATCGTCGCCGACCTGGCCTCCTCGACTTGTCGATAGCATCTGAGCCTTCCTTACAAGGAATTAGAGCCATTCCGCGGTTGTCGTCGTCGTCGTCGTCGTTGTTGTTGTTGTGTTTTTTTTATTATTTTAATACTAGCTCATGGTTGATCATCCTGGACAGCAAGACTGCCTCATGTGTGGACCGTCGTCGTGTCTGGGCGTTGTCTCTTTGGCGATGGAGGCGAAGTGAAGTCCAGCGGCACTTCGCTCTGGCAGCGCGGGCACTTGGGGTTGCTCCTGTTCAGCATCACGTACATAAGGCACTGTGTGCAGGCCCCCATTACTAGCGCGTTTTTCTTGCTTTCCGCCTCACATAGCCTGTAAAGTTAGAAGAAGCGCATGTTTATTTGCTAGTCTAGATCCCGATTGACCTTTAAACTTCCAACAAAGCAACAAGCAAGCAAAGAAACGTGTGATCGAATGTGGAAGGAGGATAGTCCCACCTTAGACCGGAGGATCTCAAACCGTGAGGACCGTCTAAGACAGGTACTGCGCCGCAAACGCCTTGGAATCTAGACGATGTTGAGCTTGCACTGCTGGTTGAAGGGGAGGAGTAGGACCAGGAGGACTCAAAGCGAATTGAGGTGAGAGAAGAGGTGGATCCCGAGTGCTTTAGATCGAAGGAGGCGATGGGCATTTCACATTTCCCCATGACCTTCTCCGTTCTCTTCAGGGCCCTTTGCACCATCTCCATCGTGCAAACGGTTTGTTGCTGACGGTGGCGTCGGGGGGAGTCACGTCCGGCGGAGAGGTTCAGATTCAGCTCTAGGTTAGAATCTTCCTTGTCGAAGAAGTTGAGGAAAGGAGCCACTCCGGGGCTGCCACCCATCGTGCTGAGGCTAGGGGTGCTGCGGCCGTCCAGCTGTAGATTCCATTGCTGCTTACCAGTTGAAAAGGAAAGCAGTTGCAGGGGTCCGTTGTCTCGAGGACTCGCACCTCCGGAGGACTCGGACAGTGTAGAGTCTCTCAAGCTCTCTTCTCGAAGTATCTCCGACCTCTTGCTGCAAAGAAACTCGTGCGCAAGAGGTGAAGGTGTCAGCTCTTCCGAGATCAACGCTGCTTCCTTCTGCAGCTTCCGTGGATCCTCGTTTGTCCTCACGCCCGTGCTCCTGTTGACAAAGTAAAGTTCTCCTACCTGTAGAAACAATTAAGCAAAACAAATCATCAGGCACAACCAATCACTACAGCTCTGTTACCACTCAATTCACAGCGAAGCGGTATACAAAAACCAGCACACACACACACACACATCATCATCAACAACGTTCCCAGAATCTCATGTCCCTGTAGTGCGAGCATCTATCAAATCTAACTATCAGCGAAACAATGTGCAGTTACAATGACAAGGTCAACTTCACGGGCGCTAGAAGAGTGCACAAAAATCATACCCACTGCACTCAGTATCGTCCTAACATTTACACAACAAAGCCCGGAAGAAATATGTAAACTGTCATTTCATAACACTCATTGACCTTCAAATTTTAGATAGAACCAACCAAATAACAAGTACCATTCTCCATGACATTTTCCTGATCCGTTCATAAACTATATTCAAACCATTCGCTGCAGCCAACACGTCTGTCAGGAGTAGGCCTTCGTCATACAATTAGCTACTGTATTACGAAGTTTCAGCCAGATCGACACAGATCCAACAGACAAAAGGTCTGCAGACTCTGAGCAAGGGAATAGGCGAGCTGTACCTTTGGGTCAAGGCACTTCTCCCAACCAGAGGGTAGAGGCAGTTCAGGGTCGAGCTCCGGCAACGCCATAGACGAGTCCTGGAGCAATTCCGTCACTGCGGTGGAAGGCGAAGTGGGAACTGCAGCGGCCATCCCCAGCAAGTCCAGCGTCACCTCCTCCGGCTTTGTCACGGAGGAGCTACCAGGCTGACCCACCATCAGCTGCATCAATTTCTCCGCATCTGCACCCCACGCGCGCTTCTTGCTTAACACAACTGGACTGTTGCCCAACGCTGCACCTCTCCACGCAACCTCCATCGTCACTGCCATCCGCTAAGCTCTCTCGACAATTGATGCGCAACTTCCCCTCCAAAACTAAACGATCTCCGTCCCGCCTGCTGTTGTAGTTCCACTCTCCTCAACTCCGGGAGCCACCGTTCCCACCCGAAGCTAGATTCATCGGCACGCTGCGACCTCACCACGTGAACACACAGCGAAAACACCCTCGGGAACAACGATAAGGTTTTTCTAGACGGTTGAGATCGTGCACTCTGAGCGAGAATTTTGACTTGCACGAGCTGATAAGCAAGCAGCAAGCTAGCCGCACTTGAAGGAGAGGATTGGAGATCTGTCTTGCAACAATCACGGTCGACAGGGAAGGGCTAGTGGAGATTGAAGAGGAAAGTAGGAGGCCTGAGCGCCGGCAAGACCTGAAATGGGATGTGCCAGTTTGACCCCAATGAAGGGTAACAGGCGGAAGGGGGGCTGTTGTCTACTGCCCGTTGAATGGAAAATCCAAGGCCGCAGGGGGTGTGGGGTGTGTTTGTCATAATGGGGGCGGTCAGGCGCTGGCGGCCTGCCCGGAGTTGGAGTTTAGGGCCCTCATAAATGAGAGCTTGAGTGAGAAGGGTTGGCAATTCTCCCCACATCCCCGCTGCCGAGTGAGAATGTGAACGCTGCAGCAGTTGCTCGCAGCTTCAATCCCGGACAGCGCCACCTGCGAGCCCCTTAAAAACTGTGCCTCCTACAGCCACGGCAAATGGAATTATCAGCAACGGCCTTGCATTATTCTCCCTCATACTGATGTGAATGGGATTCATGGCTGATGGATGGATGGGTGGGTGGGGGGCTGCGGACTTTTTTTTTTTTTTTTTTTTTTTTTTTTTTTGTTTTGGTGACGGTGGCGATGAGTCGTCACCTTATTCTGCTTTCAGATGCCGCTGTAGCACTAGAAGTAGAGTAGGTGCACTGTCTCCTGATGCTCAGTGGAGTTGAACAATTGTGGTCTGGGACGATGAAAAGTAGAAATTTAATGTGCAAACCTTTTCGGCTGGAATTGAGTTCTTTTTATCCTGTGGCGTGTAAGACTTAGAAAACAAGAGCTGAGGGACAATCGTATCAATATTGAATGATGTAATTACCTCATTGCTTGCATGGCCAGTCTTGACTATACGCCCGCTCTCTAGTTTGAGTCTGTTTATTTTTTGTTGTTTGATTCTTCTTACTTTTTACTATGAAAAATGATCTTGGTTTCTTGACTGATTTGAGAGTGCTCTTCACAAGGCAACAAGAGAGCTTGTCAATGAAACTAGCTCCTGACGTGCATGGTTTTTCTATTTGAATCGTTGGTAATATATCCCGTTAGCCAGGTTTTTTCAAAAACAGTCTTTGGAAATGCAAGTGTTGGTTCTCCAAAGTTCAACAAAAGCGAGGGCACAATGATGGGTGAGGTTGCACAGTGCGAAGTTATGCCGAGAGTAGTTGATTTGAACACATTTTGTCCTCGAGTAATTGAATGTTCAATTGGAGTGAGGTGAGCAAAGTTAGTAGTTTGATCCGATATTTCCTATTCTACATTTTAAACGTGACAGGAAGGCCTTCCATGGTAGAACAACGAAGCAAAATTAGGATTTTCTTTTACCAGCGTGAAAATTGTCTATCCCACAAATGGAGTAACTTGTCCATGCACGATTAGTAAACAAGGATGGTTTTGTATGCGGAGGCTCTCAAGTTGCCTCTGGCCCATGCTCCAATAGCACGCATTCTTTTAGAGGAAGGGAGGAAGACGGAATGAGCATGCCATGGTGAGAGGGTGGAGCCAGAGCTAGTAGCCACCACAACCAACTTGGATAAATTTGCCTCCATCAATCCTATCCATCCAATTCCAGGTAAAAGTCTAACTATTGGTTTAATATATAGTAGTATTAGTTTTTTGCTGAATACTCAAATAATCTAAGTTAGGCTTGATAAGAAAAGATGAAAGCTAAAATGGATTATTTAGAGGAGTATGTTGTCATAGCATACTTTGTTGGATAAGGCAATTAAAAACAATGGTTTGAATTAAGGTACAAATAGGTTTAGACCTAGGGCACAAATTCTTTCAAGTAGTAAGCAAGAATAAAATCATGCTACAAAAATTATTCATGCACACCCTACACATTTCATAGTGGAATACATGCATCTTCTAACTATAAATAGTGAGGTTTAATTCAAATTATTTTTATATTGTAATTATTTATAATATGTAAAAATTAATTAAAAAATATAATATTTTTATAAGTCTTGATGTGTATTAGAATTTTTAGTAGGTTAATTTAAAGAGGATTGATGTAAGAAAATTTATTTTGAGGTTTACCTATTTTAATTATAGTGTTTAAATTATGTGGGATTTAGATATTTAATAAAATTTTAAGAAAAGATTAAAGTTCAAAGATGAAGATCTAAACTACTAAGAAGTTTATTTGGAAGAATGAAAATAAGGTATGGATGGATGAAAGAAAGGAGTGAAGGTCTTCATCTCTATTGGTCAAAGGTCATACCCAATAAGCGTTCAATAAGTTGTTTGCAACAATTACAAGAATTTTTGTAACTTCAAAAGAGATATTTTAAAATAATAATAAATTTTTTTTTGTAAAGTTTAGGATTTGGACTACAATTTTTATACAAAATTTAGAAGATTTGGAGTTAGGATGAAGAAATTAAAGCTATTTGAAGTAAAAAGGCCTATTAAAATATATTGTTGCTCTTTTGAAGATACAAGGAATTTTATGGCAGTTTTTGGAGATCAAAAGATGCGGTTGTAGGAATGATTTCAAGACCTATATCTTTTATGAAAGAATTTTTATATTTAGAGTTTATATGAAGAAGTTATAAGGCATTGAAGAAGATACAAGTAATTCAAAGGCAATAGATGAACTATTTTATTGATAGTAATGGTTGGAGCCATATCTTAAGTTTTTGGATAAGATTTTAGCTTAATTTTTTTTAAAATATGAGTTATTAGGTTAAAAAGTTCTATATTAATTTTTGTAGTAGTATAATATTTAATTTATAAGATATGAAGAAAATTACACATAAGTATATGTAAACAAGGATTTGAAGCTATTATTAGGATTTTGATAATATTCTAAGATTTATAATAAATTTTTTTAGTAAAATTTATTTTAATAGTTGTTTAAAGTGCATCAATAATTTATATAAAATTTGAGCTTGTTTAGATAGTCCAATTGTGAGACATAAGCTGTTGAAGTTTAGAGAGAATTTCTTTTAAGGATATATAAGGTTTTAAGATATTTTTATCATATTTTGAATGATCTTTGGAACTTAAGATTTATATATTAGTGTAATTTCTCCTATAGGGATAATTTTATATATAAACTTAATACTTTCTTATCTTAAGACTTTTTTGAGCAATTAGTGATAGTCAAAAGTCCAATGCTTTCTTGAGGCAAATTTTTTCTACTTTGACACTATTCCATTAGCATAAAAATCCTAATGTAGATAATACTTAAGCTAATCTTAGATGAGCTTATTATTAGTGTAGAAGACATCATTCAATGCCTCAAAATAATCAAGAATTATAATAAAAGAAATAAATTTGCTATAGATTAAAAGTTATGCATTGCACTTACAAATAGAAGTTTATACTATTTGACCATTAGTACATTCAATCTAGTAATGGAATTTTTGTCCACATAGAAATAACATATGATAAGTTTTTTATATGGTATAGGTATTATCTATCTACTAAGCACTTCATAAGAGATTATAATCCAATATATAATCATAAAAAATTAGTGACTATTAAATTGCATTTATAAATAATCTTGATTCCAAAGCATAACAATGCACATGAAAGAACAAGTACATTCAAAAACAAGCTATAGGTTGATCCAAGGAAGAAAGAAAAATAACTTCACCACCTAATTTGAAAGTAATAGAAATATTCCTATTGAAAACACTGATAGCTGCTTCTATTGCCAATTTTGAAAGTCCAAAAAGAAGGAGTCTTTAAAATCATAAAATAAAAAATAGAAAGAAAAATGATAAGCTTAATACTCAATCTACACCAAAAAAGCCTTAAGTGAATTATTTGGTGGAACAAAAAAAATGTCAAAGGTAGGAATCTTTATTCAATACAGATAAATTTATTAATAATGATGAATTGAAGAAAGCAAAGAACAAATGGAATGGACAAAAAGGTGATGTTGTAATTGGCATTCAGGCTAAAAATCTTCACATAAAAACACACAATCATTTGATTGAAATAGATCAAAAGAATAATGAAGCATTGGTCTTTGATGAAATACCAAAAATAAAGGAGGTAAAGAATAATAATATTGAAGGAACCAACATTCAAAAAGATGGATCATTAGGAATAAATCACTTAAAATTAAGAGGTAGTGTTGTAATACACTTAATTTAAGTGCATCAATGACAAAGAAGATTTATGCAAACTTGTAGGAAGAGAGTCACTAGAGTTTATAGACAGAAAGATTCAAGATTGATTTAGGTTTTTTATACCATTTATCATATTTTCATCTTTTTGTTTTGAGATTTTGAAAAAAATTAGTTCTTATTATTAGCTTTTCAATAAGCTTTAGTATATAAAAATAAGAGCTATAATAAAAAAAATTCAAGCTAATTTGTAGACAAGAATCTTGAAGGCAGCTGCTACAACAAGCTGCCAAGTTTTTTTTCTTGATTTGGCTCTCATTTTTTCAAAATTTTATTTATTGGATTTAATAATTTGAATTTTGTAGCTTGAATTAAGCTTAATAAGCTCTATTTTTCTCAAATTGAGTTAGTAATAAGTAAGTTATAGATAGTTTAGTAAAAAGATGTTTAAATTTGAGATTGGAGTTAGGAATTGGGTATATCTTACCACAAAAAAGAAATTAATCTAAAATTTGTACTTAGCCTTTAGGCTATCTTTTTATATTTGAGTTCTTTTAGATAACATTTTTCTTCTTATAATCCACTTGCAATCAGAGACCTTATATTTTCTTGAAGTTGCTTGCCTTCTTAACAAAAACAAAGTATTCAAAATCAATCTATCAAGCACTATGTGGCTGATGGAATGGATCATAGAGCATTGAAGAATAGAAGAAGTTCGAAAAGAGAAGGTTATGGCAATAATACCATTGGCAAGAATAGAGGATCTAATGCTCATTGTATCTATATATAGATTTAAATAAAGGTCATATTTTATGGTCTATGTCTACAAAAACTCAATAAAGTAGAATATCTACCAATTCAAATTTTTTGAATGAGATTCAATTGAAAGCAAATAAAACAACGTTAAAAAGAATATTATAGTTGTTAGGGACATAGTACTTAGAATCTTTTAGAGACAAGTTTCTAGAACCTTCTAAAAGCAAGTCTCTGGAACCTTCTAAAAGCTTCTTAATTGGTGGAAGTTGCTTGAGAAGCTTCCTAGTTGATGGAAGTCGCTTGAAGAAGCTTCTTAGTTGGTAGAAGTTGCTTGAGAAGCGTCCTAAATAGGAGTATATATTGG